GCGTACTCTGCAGTGTACAGGACACGTCTTACGCTGCATTATGCATTATGTATACTCTCCCGCATGCACACAAATCATTCGTTTAGGGCGGCGGCGACGGCGGTGGCCCGGTCGGAAGAATAAACATACAACCCTCGTGTTTTTCGTAATTTTTTTATGTATATATATAATTTTTTTTAACCTCTTGTATCGCACATTATCTGCGCAACACCGGTCGTTACGTGTACAAGGGTTTTGGAAGGAGAGAAAAAAAACTTTGTCGGCCGGCGCATACCAAATAATGGACCGATTAGGTATTTAATCGAAGTACGCGTTACTATACATACACATGTGTACATATACACGTATTGTAATAATACGACGACCCGCACATGTGGTACACGATATAAATAATATATTACGCGTAGAGCATTGCAGTCGCGTACGCGTCTCGCGCGCTCATTGTCCGTCTTTACCGGGCGTCTTGCATAATATACGGGCCCGGCGCGCGCGTGCGTCAGATAAGTCATTATCCGAGTCCGAACGAATTGTCTCTATCGAACATTTGCATTACGTTCGCCGCGGCCGTGTACGGAATCCCGGTTCGTGTTGTAGTCGAGTTTCTCAACTAGTGGTACACGCGAAAAGATGCGATAAGGTACTACATAGGCTAAAGGTACCCGGGAGGGGGGGGAGAAAGGGTAACGGCGAAAAACGTAAAAATCGTTCACGAAATATTTGATAACGAGCACTTTGTGGAAAAGACCTTATCGCCGCACACGTTCATTAAATATAAGTATCAAGGCTTACTTATCATCTGAGGGACCAGATTTGAAAAATCAAGCGTTAACGAACGACCCCAAAGATCACGTTAAATTTAAATCGAAAAATGTATATTTTTTTTTTGGTAATCAGTATACTGATTAAAATAGATACCTTGAATACTTCATAATTATTTGTTTTCCACGGAAACTAATTTTATCATGTCTTACCGATCCTACGTGAAAATAGACAAATTGACACGTACTTTACCCTAGAACCCCCTCTCCATTTTTAATTTTGCAATTTTTTTCGCGCCAATAATTAGTGCTCAATATGTAGCAACAGCATAAAAAGTTGTGTTCTACAGAACAATTGTGTACATAGGTACGTCATTCATGATAAAATTTATAAAAAACGGTTAATAATTCAAAATGTGCGTTAGACTACGGTAATTACTCCAGCTCCACCCGTTAAAAATACGACTTTCCGGAAAAACTGGAAGAGCAGGAGTTATGAAATCTTGGGCAGGAATAAGCAGGGGTTGAGCATTAATTATTGACGCAAAAAAAAATTGTAAAATTAAAAAAGGGGGGGAGGGCTATGGTAACGTACGTCGAATTGACAGATTACGTAAAGCAATGTCTATGAATGAAAAATGGACGAGAAACGCTGCGATACGGGATCGAGCTCGACCTGCAGCAATCCACTGCTCCTAGCGTTCCGATCACATGTGGGTTAGACACACCGGCACGGAACTAGGGTCGATTCGGAGGACATTGAAGCCCAGAGCACCATTAGCTTTGGGGCACCGTTATAAGCCAAACACGTGAACTGAACATATTACGTTCAATCGCAATGGACATAATCAATATAGATCGTCGAAAGTTTGATCCGTTCGTTTAGTGCCGTTTTTTTTAATAGGCGTTTTTTTCTCCAGTTTTTCTTTTGGAATCATACCAATTTTATGTCTTCGTACGTTAACATTGTAAACGTCATGTAACGATTGCTACGCCGTTACTAGTCTACATGCGTATTTGCCGAGTAGACACCACGTTACGGTCAACAGTAATATTGCACGATCGTAATAATTGATTACGTATTACGATTATTATTAATGGAACTGATTTTGTAGATAACATTGATGACGTTTAAAACACAAATATTTTACATTCCGTTCCGTAATTATAGCTCATTAAATACTCGATCTTACGAAAATAACAATTTTTGGTAGACAACAGTCGCTGCAGCTCCCAGCAGACTGCAGCGTACGGCGCGAGTGATGGACACGTGTGCGTATGACACGCTGCCGATGATATCGTAGTGCGTAGGCGTGGGTTCGGGGAAGGAGGTCATGAGGGTCATGTGTCCAAAAAAAAAAAAAAGAAAACCATCAAGATTAGGTCTTTCGTGTTTATTTATAAATGAATACATGCGATAAAATAGAGGAGATTAAACATTGTCATTTACATTTATAAATTAACAATAATTATAACAAAGTGCTGATTTCAATTTACTTCTGTTAATTTTCAACTGCGTACCATCTTTTTCTCCTCTCGAAAAAACTGATAGTGCGCATGTACACGTGCGTGTTACGAACGGGATCCGATCCGATATAATGCGGTTCAACAACTGCAGAATTTATTATTTTAACGCGCGCGCGCTCGCTATAACACAATATAAGTGCTGCAGTTCTCGTGGCTATTTCTATGCGCATAATCGTTCATACGTACACGATTAATATATAACTACAATAATGGGTGTAATAATAACTATCGTAATAAATGTAAGACTACGGACGCGCGAGACTGGGTGCACAGTGTAATGTATTCGTACACAACACCGGCGGAGAAAAAAAAACGCGTTGCTCGTAACCGCGCGCATACCTCTGTGTACGTTTATACGCTTTACCCGCGGATACCTGGTGGACATTACGTAGCTGCCACTGCGGCACACGGATCGCGGGCGTCTACGTCCGTCGCCGAGGCGCGGGCGCGCGTGCGTGTCGTAATTTTTTTATTCAAATCAGCTTCGCCCGTACATAATAATATGAAATAATAACGATAATAACCTAACCGTCCGTATCTGGAGCAAAACGCCCGGGGGTGGGCTGAATTCTGAAACCGGCCACCGCGAGACGTGATCTTTCTCTCTCCGGTGCGTACACACACGGAGCAGCGTTGTCCGTTTTACCCTTTCTCTGTCTTCCCGCTGTCACTCCCATACGCCCACCCCGGTTCCTCTGCACCGTCCGCGACGCTCGCCCGCGACGTACGTGCGCGGCGCGCCAAGCGCGAAACGCGCGCGCTCGTAAACGCATACAAAAACGAAGAGTAGAAAAAAAAATCCTGGTCGTAGAACCGTTTCTCTCCCGTGTAAAACGTTAACACGCCAGGGGCGTATTTAGACTTACTTCTAGGGTGGGGGGGGGGCG